CTTTTATTTTTATATTATGAATGTCAAGCTGTTTGGTTTCTCTAAACTATTCTATATTTATCGGTTCGATTTTTTTAAGGCGGAAAAGAGGTGGGGGGGGGGGGTGTAGGGAGAGGTAAAACGATTATCCATTGAGCGGCTTATGCAACTATGTAGAAGATGAAAGTTAGATCTATTGATATTCATCAAAGAGAAAAATATTTTTGCCGTTTTTTTCCCATCAAGGCTTCTCTTCTGCCTTGCGGTCTAAAATGAACCCTATTTGCTTCAGCGCCTTTTGTGGTATTGTTGTTTGGACACATAATAAGAGCGTCTCAGGGCCTATAACATGCTATTCGATGGCTTCAACGGAAAAGGAAGCCCGAGTAAAAGATAAAAGATGGATCGACCGAGTCAAAGAGAACCTCCAAAGGAAAAACATGACAAACTTAACAAAAACACCCCTGGCCCACGTCCGACAATTGCATCTCCCCTCGACACCTTGTGGTACCAGAGGACAGATAAGTAAGTAAGTATTGTTTCATGAAAAATGCCTTCTTAGCTCGTGGTATGAACGAATGTGACGTGGTTAAAGTAAGGGGGGGGGGGGGAAGAATAAACTTTTTTAATTTTTCCAGGGGGGGGGGGGGGGGGGGGGGGGGGGGGGGGGTGTTATTTCTGATAGCAATAGCACACGGAAGTGGTACAGGTAGATCTCCCTCTCGTACTCTGGGGCCATGCTGGTAATGAATTAGCAGTCTACACTTTGCGTTTTTATGTGTAGCGCAAGTTCGACTCTATCCGTTTTGACCAAGGCTTCTGGTTCTGTCTTACCGCTTGCAGACTACATACTAGCGTACACATAAATAGACGCACACACGTTAGCTACAATGCATCCCTTTATCTTCATTTATAATTTACTAGATGGGCCCCCTTTCGATTAAAGGAATGATCGGTGCATTAACATCAACTGAAAATCATTGGCTTACTATATTTACACTCTTCTGGAATGGAGCAATAAATCTTGAGAAAAAAGTGACACATGTCATGTGTTTCCAAGTTGCCAAATATATAATAGATGTATAGATTGATTCTCTCTCTATTCCACTTTTGTGGTTGTCCACTCCATAATTTCAAAGATGTGGATTGGCGCACGGCTAGTGAACGGAAACCTCACTTGTTTACAATGGCATCTTTGAAGACGGACTTTCCCAAGATTAGATCTAAACGAAACTGTATAATGAAAAACTGAAAATTAAACTACAGTGACTTTAGGCTCCTCTATGAAACTCTGCACCCTTTAAATTATTCTGAACCACCATTAATTTTGTCAAATTCGAAAGTTAAGTGGTTCGGAAGTTTTAGGCGGTGAAAGTGACGAACTTTCACAAATATAATATGTAGATCTATAGATTCCTCTGTGTTCATTGGTCTGTTTCCGAGTCATCTCATTCCTGCACGTAGGTCTAACAAGTCGTCATAAGTATTCACCATCCGTGCTATGTGGCTCAAGGTTACGTCACAGATGTGTGTCAAATCTCTGTTCACACCAAAGCTGCGTATATAAGCAGATAGTTTACAGTAATACTACTGTAAACCCTCTCTGATATAAGTTTAGTAGGCTACAGTGAAGAGAGGTCTTCCATTTTTGGAGGACGTTATCGGCTCAACTAATGAGTATCTTAATAACGAGAATATGGTTTAGCGCCAGGAAGATTGACTTACTATTATTGCAAGATAGTTTCTCTATTCATTTCTCTATTCAAGAAGCTGAAACAAACGTCTTGAACAATATTGGCTGTAACATCTAATATTGCGCATTTGATACTATTTACAGGTAATGACGTCTCTACATAAATAAATATATATATATATATATATATATATATATATACACAGACGAAGGATTGCTTGAAAAACTTCTATGAGAGATTCGGAACAAAACGACTTTATTAGGGTCTATGGAAGCAATCATACGACAACATTTGAGGCTCCGATACACCTTTTCTACGACAGTGGAACTTAAAAAAAAAGTGTCCCATCTGCATCACATTGAAGGAATCATGTGAAAGAATAGCACCATATAAACAAAATGCCTTGACATGCTACGGGTCTCTTGATCGCTGGGCGAAAGACACCATCATACGTGTGAAGCAGACAGCAATGCAACATCAAAACATCCATCAAAAAAATTATGTATACAGACACATCGGTCGGTTGTGATCGAAAGGTTAGATCTATAAACAAATTCAGCATTGACGAAGAAAGTGTTTGATTCTGGGCTCGTACGTTACGCCAAATATCTGACATTCAGTTGCAATTATTTTTAACCTGCTTGTTTGTTTCCACGTTTGTTTACACGTTTGCTGGCATGTACCTCGGAGCCTGCGCTAGAGCGCTAGACTGTGTGAGAGCTTGTTTCTCTTTGAAGGACGGCAAGACGAATACTTCAGTTATAGCCTGTTCACCTTTCTGGCCGCTTGTATGTGCTTGTTCTCTCCCACACTCCTGAGACCCAAACACGAGGATGGAGGGATGGATGGATGGATGGATGGATGGATGGATGGATGGATGGATGGATGGATGGATAGATAGATAGATGCACTCACATTTTAACAGACATTCAGATGGAAAATACACTAAAAGACAGAGAGAGAGAGAGAGAGAGAAATAGAGATAGAGAGCGAGAGAGAGAGAGAGAGAGAGAGAGAGAGAGA